AAATTATAATCTGTCATATGTAGAGAGATTCAGAGTAACAAGACCACCACAGAGCTGAAAAACTCCACGTTAAGAAAGTAGCACTTTCATATTTTTTTCATGATAAGTCTTGCATCCCATCCATTACCGGAATAGATTCCTGAGTTAATTGCATGTGGACTTTGGTGCCTGAAATACTAGACCAGGGTTGGCAATCCAGATCCACATCCAGAATCAATATCTAATCCGCATGACACTAGACTCACTAGGTAAATCTATGAATCCCTCTCTCCAACTTTCCATCCCATAGGCTATTATAAGGAAAAAGCATACATGCCCAGATTCATACAATATATTAAATCAGGCTAAAATGGGGCTAAATAATGCATACCTCAGAGTGTTGTGGAAACTAAGCAATAGATTTAGCTCTTCATGTGGATTAGTCCATTTTGTGAAGCTATACTATGGTTTATTGATTTGGACATAGCACGTTATGAAAATGCAGCAATTGTGTTCTATTAATGAGCACATTGTTAACAGGGATCAGTTATGGAGGAGAAAGGCACATACATTCCCTTCAGCATTTGATGAAGAAAATGTGAGACAAAAATTAAATAAGCCACCACAATTGAAATGACAGACTTGTTTACCTAATTCTATACTTACACTGTCTGTGTATTATTTCATACATGTGGATTATCAATGCACATGTATGTGCATGTGCATGCACAATAATAAAAAAATTAAAATAAGTAAAAATGTTTAACATCGTTATCAAATTGTTATCAAATTGAAAGAGATCTAGCAGAATGAAAAGGTATAATCAGATAATAAGAAACAGGAAAGATACCATTCAATATCAATTCTGATATTCTGATTCTCAAAACAGAATCAATTCTGAAGTGTTGTATCTAAATAACTGAATAAGTATATCATCTGCTTTTAAGGGAAGAACAATTCTGTATTTCCACCTCAGGCACAATCAAACATTGATCTCTCTCAAAAGATAATTGATAGATTGTGCTAAAAGGGCTGGAAAGTCCCACCACATTCATTAACAAGAAACTTTCATATTCAGCTTGTTTCTTTTCAACTTCCTGTTGAACTGACTCACATGCTCTCTTTTTATGCAACAAGAAATTTACTTCACTTTATTATGGTAGGACTCAGCACTTGTATTAATAGTAAGAAATCTTCCATCATTTTCAAGATCCTGGCAAAGATAATCAAACAACAGATCTGTGAAAACCTAGAAGCAAGCAAAGCTATTACTAAAAGCCAATAGTTTATCAAAAACAGATCATGCCAAACAAATATTATTGTATTCTTTGACAAAGTGACTAAATTAGTGACCAGCGAAATACTGTGGACATAGTATACTTGGATTTCAGTAAGGTATTTGACAAAGTAGACCACAACTTACTTCTTGGTAAGATAGAAAATTTTGGGATAGACAGCATCACCTCCAGATGGATTTGTAACTGGCTGAGAAACCACATTCAATGTGTAGTCCTCAATGGAACTATATCTACATGGACGAAACTATGCAGTAGGTTTTGTCTTAGGCCCAGTATTCTTCAACATATTCATAAAACATTTAGATGAAGAGATAGAAGGGTAAGTCATCAAATTTACAGAAGACACCAAACTAGGAGTGTAGCCAACACTTTAGAAGATAGGGTCAAAATCCAGAAAGGTCTTACCAGACTTGAACACTGGGACCTATTTAACAAAATAAAATTCATTGGGGAAAAAAGTAAAGTTTTACACTTAGGCAAGAAAAACTAAATCACAGGTACAAATAGGTGGTACCAGGCTCAATAGTAGTAACTGTGAGAGGGACCTAGGAGTCTTAGTGGACAACCACTTAAGTATGAGCCAGCAATGTGCTACAGCTGCCAATGCAGTCCTAGGCTGCATCAATAGAAAATAGTATCAAAGTCATGTGATGTATTAGTACCACTATATACTGCCCTGGTAATATCACACTTGGAATACTGCATCTGGTTCTGGTCACCATGATACATGAAAGATGTTGAGATGCTGGAAAGAGTGCAAAGAAGAGCAACAAAGATGATTAAGGAGTTTGAGGCTGAAACATATGATGAATGGATGCAGGAACTGAGTATGTCCAGTCTAACAAAGGGAAGGACTAGGGATGACATGATACCAGTCTTCCAATATTTGAGAGGCTGTCACAGAGAAGAGAGGGACAACCTACTCTCTAAAGGACTTGAGGGCAAGAGAAGAAGTAATGGATGGAAACTTATCAAAAAACAGGTTCAACCCAGAACCTGGGGAAATTTCCTGATAGTGAGAACAATTAATCAGTGGAATGGCATACATTCAGAAGTTATGGGTGCTCCAAAACTAGAGGTTTTTAAGAAGAGATTGGACAGCCTTTTAACTGGAATAGTATAGGATCTCCTGCTTGAGGGGTTTGGACTAGAAAACATCATTTTCAATTTTGTTATTCTGTAACTGATCCTCTGAATAAACTTTTGGGTTCAGAAAATGGATTTTAATGACATCATCATGTGGGAAAGGTTATAGAACTTATCAACCAAATTCAGTTGTTGAGCAATGTTTATCTGAACCAAATTAAATATCATTAAATGATGCAAGTTGTTCATGTCCTTCATATCTCTTTGTTAAGCAAGGAATTTTTTAAAATTTAGACTTAAACTGTAAATGAGGAGGGTGATGTGTTTTTAAAATTGTGCCTTTACTAAGAATAATTCAGCAATGATTTTTCATGCATATACAGGAAGACTAAGGTCTGAGCTGATCCTTTAATGATAGTTTGTCCATATAAGGATGTAGCTTTAACATTTAGACAAGTTTACATGTCAGATAATGAAACTTTCCAGATTGCAGACCTCTTTTATCAGAAAACTTTTCTGAGAAGCAAACTACATAGCATTGTTAAGAGCACAAAACAACCTCCTATATAAACCATTGCAGATTATGTTCTGTCATTTCTATGTGCAGACACCAAATCCTTATATGAAAACATTTCTTCTGCTAGGAATTTGTTTGGTGGCAAAGCATCTCTTTATTCTATATTTATTCGTAGCTTTTTGAGATAAGCAAAGGTTAGACTATACTGAGGCATTCTAGTCCTCATGCATTTGTTCATGTCATCTCACATTCTCATTGAGCATTTCCACTGCCTTCTATGACCTTGAAAAATAACAATTTGAAGTATGTTTTAAAATAATCTGTTTTAAATGTGTAGGGTTCCTACAAAATTTAGATCAACAAACTCCATGCTAGCCTTTATTTTGCCACAGTACTTAAGAGGGATGTGTGAGCATGAGAACTTTTTAGCACAGCTAATGATTCCTAAAATGGGAATTGCTTGTTCTGAGATGGGGATATGTCACACCTGATCCAGGAAGTGCCATGTCCCACCATGAAACAGGCAAGTCCAAATATCCAGCTGAGCAGCCACCATGTAATTTTTTTTCCTTCCCTCTTGATGATGGAAAGGCAAGCAGTTGCATCCTTCTTTCCTGTCCTGTGTTTCCCCTTTGAGAGGAAATCCAAGCCATTATTCCCTGCCTTCCCAGCACATGGTTTAAAAGCAGCAGAGGTGAGAACAGGCTGATTCAGCAGTCGTAATTTAGCCCCTTCTGTGATAAAGCTTGATGGCCAGAACTTGTCTTCATGGGTCAAGTTTTTCTTAAATTAGGGAATATGTGGTTGAGTTATTATAGGAGCCAGTTTGGTGTAAGTGTTTAAGGTACCAGGCAAGAAACTAGGAGTTCTAACCCTGCACTCAGCACAAAGCCATTTGGGCCAGTCACTCTCTCTCAGTTCTAGGAAGGAGACAGTGGCAAACCACTTCTTAAAATCTTGCCAAGAAAACTGCAGGGACTTATCTAGGCAATCACTACTGACTCCCCAAATACTATTGTAAGTCCCCAAATAAACCAACAGTATTCCAATTGCTACCTTAATTTAGATATCAGACCACGGACTTTAATATATTATTGTGGTAATTAGGCATACAAATCTATCTTCAACTACATGCTGAGACTATTTCCCCTTTTAAAAATATATTCATTAAAAGCAGTGACCTCTTTTAGTACTAGGAGCCTTGGTAGTACAGTGGTTTAAAGCACCCTGTTATTAACACAGCTGCCTGCAATTACTGCAGGTTCGAATCTTATCAGGCTCAAGGTTGACTCAGCCTTCCATCCTTTCTAAAGTAGATTAAATGAGGGACAATAAACTGACTTTGTATAAATATACAAAAGTATGAAGGCTATTGCTTAACGCATTGTAAGCCCTGAGTCTCCGGAGAAGGGCGGCATATAAATCAAATAAAAAAAAAAAAACTATCCAGTATTAGTGTAAAATGAAAAATTGTCACAAGTAGAAAAGTGATGCTGTGCGTAATGCTGTATGCCAATTTTTCTCCCTAGGAAAATAAAATCCGTTGCAGAAAGCTTTGAAAGTTTTTTTTATTTTTAATATGAGAAAAGTATCTTAGAACAGCATCAACGTTTGCAGCTGCAAACTTTCTTCTATGTTCCTGGGACATGTGCATTTAACTACAGTTAAAACTGCAGAAAAAATCCGGTTTTCTGCAGCTCGACTGAACTGTCAGGGTAGGCTAAAATGATGAATTTGTTTTGTTCCACTGTCTTTTGTGGGAACACAGCTGTTCTGTGGACAGGGTAGCTTTTTATTCCCAGCCTAGTCATCAGATACAGGGGTATCTATCTATCTATCTATCTATCTATCTATCTATCTATCTATCTATCTATCTATCTATCTATCTATCTATCTATAGTCAGAAACATGTCTTGGACAAGCATTAATAGAATTAAACGGATCCTGAAGAGGACAGGCAAAGGAGGTGCGATATCAAGGAATGAGTCTAGCGCCAAAATGTAATCTTGGAGGCGGTTCCCACGAGAAGAATTTTGCCTCAAGGCTGGCACGATTCCCGCCAAAGCGCATCTCGTCCCGTCCCAGTTAAGACCAAAAGAAAAGGCTGCCACATTTCTTGGGCCCTTCGAGCCTTTTTTTTTTTTCTTCACATTAGAAGCCGAGTCCGGGCGTTGGGAGCGGAAGGTCAAAGGGCCCTAAACAACCCGCAGCTCCGCCCCGCCTCCTCCTCGCAGGCTCCGCCCCTGCGCCCTCCCAAGGCTGGAAAGCGGCAAAGAGGGTAAAGGCGCCTGCCGCGGTTTCTTGGGCGAGAGGGATCATCGCCGGGCTTGTTCTTGGCTGCCTGCAGAAGGAGGAAGAAAGCACGCGAGGAAGAGCCGCTGCTGCCATGGGGCGAGTGCAAGGAGGGATGCGCTGCGTCAAGTTCCTGCTCTTCCTTTTCAACTTCATCTTCTGGGTCAGTGCGGGGCCGGAGGAGCAGAAGGCGTTCGGGGGCTAAAGGCGAAGGGGGGTGAAAGGGACCGGGGTGCCGGCTCTGCAAGTGCCTGTGTATCCGTGCGTGTGCGCGCTCTGTTGAGCCGGAACTGTGAGGTTGAGAGAAACGACCTCGTGCCAGGCTCTTCCTCCGTGTGGGGCGGCTGCTGATCGGGCTTACCTGTTCGGCGCTGTCCGCTGTGCAGGTAGCCCGCGCCGTCCCAACCCGCCAAATTTCCCGCTGCTCCCTGCAGCCGAGCATCCTTCGCCACCCACTTCGCCGCGTCTTTGGGTTATAATCCGAAATAAGAACAACAAAGGCGAGCGATGTTGGAACCTCGGGGCTCAGCAGGGAATAAACGAAAAGACATCTGTGCAACGGGGAAAGCAGGCTTCTTTTTGGTGTTGGGATTCCCGCTTCTGTGGGTCCCTCTCTCCCTGCAGTAGCTGTTGCACACGCAGACTAGAGGGTTATCTGGAAGTAAGCGTTTGTACACGGTGAACTGAGGTGTGCAGTGGCCTTCCTCAGAAGCTAGCAACATCCCACCATATCACCCGTGATGATAAAAGCCACTTCATCTTGGATAACATTTCCCATCCTCCCTAGCCAGGGCAGGAAGAGGCTGTCTAAGATGCTGGGCACAGGTGTGCTTGACAGTTCAGAAGGGGGGACTTGCAAGAATTTAGGTGGATTAACAATAATTTCATCCTCATAGGACATATAGATCAGCTTGCCAAGACTTCCCAATGGTGTGTCTCCAAAATACTGGAGTAGAGGATTCTTCTTCCTATTATCTGAAGTTGGTCAAAAGCCACTTTTATAAGTCTTAAATAGAAATGTTGTATCTAAGTGTTGGTCAAAACGCTGCAAAGAAGCCAAGCTACAATATATCAGCTTGGTGATTTTTTGTGAGAGCTGCTTTTCCCTTAAATAATGCTAACCCAGACTAATAACTTTACCTTAAGATAGTGCTAGATGGGGATGATGGGAATTATAGTCTAAAACTTCATGGGGGGGGGCAGAGATGGAAAGCTGCCTTAGTACACAATGATTTATTGGAAGTTTGGGCATGAAATATTTTAGTTTGCCTTTTACTATTATACTTTCTTGTCCAAGATATCTCTGTTAAACAGAAGTATATTTGAGGGGTCAAAAAAGTCAAAATGGCAGCCGCGACTGCACAGAGTTCTTGACATAGGTCACATGCAGTAAAAAAGGGGGTGGAGCTTTGATCATGTGGCCACCATCATGACTGTTTAACCCACCCATATTAGTTAAAATTTCTGCATTTTTAAACTGAAATTTTAGATTATTTTTGTAGTTTTTTTTTAATGTAAACTGAAGTAGGCTTCTGATGTCAAGGGGAAGAATAAGCATGCAAGGCTCTTTCCTTGACTGGCATCAATTGGTTATCTTTATTAAGCCCACAGATAACATCATTAATTTATAATCTGCAATCAAGTTTTCTTATTGATGATTAGCTTTTGGGGATAGTAAGAGTCTTTTTTGAGAATCATATGTTCGGTGGACTAATATTCTGCTTCAAGCGTTGTGATCACATTTCTGATCTGTTAATTTCAACAGCTCTGTTGACAGAGTCAAGGAATAACCATGAGGCCGAGTTCATTTTAAGATATATAATTAACATAAGTTTGCTTTTTATCTTGCTAAGTGTTGGAATTAAGCTTCTGAAATTTTCCAGTGAGCATGAAAGAATCCAGTGCTTTGATGTCTCAGCCAGACTGTTTCCATTAATAAAAGAATGTCCTTTCATTTTTTTATCCCCAATTCTAAAGAAAGGAACATCACTTTAATTGCTAGTAAACATCACTCTATAACTTCTGTATTGATCTTATTTCATACTAACATTAACTTTAGTAGGAAAAAAAAAAACCTCTTCACTGAAACCATAGAAACAACAAAAGAAATAAACAACCACAATGGGGCGCATTTGTTAATCCTTGACACTCTTTACTATCAACATGTTCCGGAGCTATGTGGCTTTCTGTGCTTGAACAGTGCAGCTGATCACCAATTTAAAGAGATAGAAAAACAAGCAATTCATAAGGAAGTCATTACTGAATTTATAAATATGGGTACACATTACATAAACCTGGATCTCATAAATATGCACTTGCCCAGTGTGACTTTTCCATTACATATTTAGATTTGGAGGCCCTGATTGTGGCTCTTTGCATCATGTCAGTAATCAATGGAGTAAATAGAAATATTGCAGTCTGACAGAATATGGTTTTGCATGTCTAATCAAATGTAACCTCTGCTGAATTCAAAGGGACATTTTCATTTACTACAGCCTTAATTTTCTACATACAAAATATGAACATAAAATCTCTCAAAGCTTGGCATGCTATTGCCAAGAAACAAACACCCGTATCCAGAAAAGTCTGTATTTTGTCACAGGTAAACTAAAACCTATCTATGTTTATTATTCCTTGTTTACCCCTTAAAAAGTAGATAATTAGATTAGGATCAACAAAGAAAAGCATCCTCCATGTATATGCAAACCGTTTTTCTAATATCTCAAAAGGGTATACCAAAAGTGAATACCATAACCATTCATTATATAATTTACACTCAATATTTGCATTCATTGCCATTTTCTTCTATGAATTTCCTTTATAATGCATGGCCTTTGAACATTCCTAAAAATAGGAATATTTTCTTTGAAAAAATAATAATAAAGCATTGTGATTAGCCTATGGGACCTGACCTTTGATATACTGTATATATTGTATTGTCTTTCTCCTCTTGAAAATGGGCTTGCAGTGGTGAGGTTAGCTGAGAACTGCAGTTGCATTGACATCTTAAACAGGAGTTTTCAAAGATCATTTTAATAGACACACACATATACATTTACAAGCATCCCAAATCTAGAAAGCTAAACAAAGACTTAAGTTTGCTCAGCTAGTGGTGCCAATTGCGGTAATACAGTTTATTCTACTGTAGAGGGGAAAATGTACCAAATCCCTGTACATCACATGTGGAAATCCTGCATGGCATTCCTGGTTGCGGTTGTTGAACAAATTTTTTCCATATATTTTGAGCTTACAGTCCTACTCAAAAAGTCTAGAAAGCTGATGTTTTGAAATATGAACGTAAAGTCTTCCAGGGTTCTGCCTACTATTGCCATGTACAAAATTACATCCTTTGGTCATAGCAGGATTCCTAATAGTTTGTACTATTTCTTTTTTTCTCTTAGTAAGAACTCTTTCCTGTCTGTGTCTGATGCACAGACCGTGCTCTCCTTTAACCCCCTCGGAAACTTGGCAGTAGCTCTTGCATTCATCCTCTCTCCTGTTCACTAACTGCTCCATTTATCTGATGAAGTGGAATGTCAATCACAAATCCTTAGACTGTCATCATCAGTTTGTTTATCATTAAGGTACACAAGACACCACATTGTTTCTGCTTTCAGAGACAATCACAGCGATCCCTCTGAAAACCCAGGCCTTTCTTTTTAAAAAAAAAAACAGCTTTTTTGAAATATAGGTCTGCAGAGAGGAAATATGGGCATAAAGCAAGGGCTTTGGACATTTCTTTTGTTCTTTGCAAAGCCTTGCTGAAAGTTTAAGCTGTAGGTGGGATGTGACACTCCATTAAACAAACACATGGAGAATGACTGCTCAGCTTGATCTTACTACCTCACAGCTGTGTGGACAGGAGAAGAAAATGCCATTGAACTGTGGCTGATAGTGTGTTATAGTAAGACTGTTGTAATAGCATGGAGAAGAACATTGTGCTATGGAAACAATTAGAAAGTTATTTAATATGATAACATGGCAGGGGCTAGTAGTTTGAAAACAATAGGTAATTTTTTTTTTATTTTCTGCTTTTATGGAAGCCTTGGTCAAGTAGAAATCTTAATACTTTTAGATCAGCTTATTGTCAGTTGAGCTTTTAAATCATTTGGATTTTCTTCCCTTAGAATAGAAAAAAAATACCTGTAACATACCATATCTTCAGTGAAGTAACTTTTGGGCTGTCCAAAACATGCACTGACCATCTCTGCCCACTGTTTGTCATATTCGTGTAGCAGTATGCCCACTTCTTTCCTTTCTTTCCTTTCTCTGCTGGCATAGCCTGGGCACTTCTTGGCCATGGCGGTCACTGTGCTGACCGCCAAGCGGCTGCCCATGCTGCTGCTGGCCTTGTGGGGGCTCTTCGGCCTCCTGGCAGGGTGAGTGAAGGCCAGAGTGTGCCGAGAGCTTGGCCACGATTGAGGCCATGGGCAAGCAGACAATGGGACGAAGGGGCGGGGCCAATGGTAACTGCCAAACACTTTTCACCCAGAGGGAGACGAAGCTTTGCCTGACACTTTGAAACAGAAATAATTGCTCCATTTCAAACCATGCCTTTTGCAAGCACATGAAGCTTTGAGTCTCTGTCATTTCTCCATCCAGATGAAAAGTGTTTGGAAGCCTATGGGACGTTTGGGAACGGAGCGATTTGGTCCATTCCCAAGCACCCCACAGGTGACCAAACACTTTTCATCCAGAGGGAGAAATGACAGCGACTCAAAGCTTCATGTGCTTGCAAAGGGGATGGTTTGAAACAGAGCAATTAGCTCCATTTCAAAGTATCCCCTTTGCAAGCAAAGTTTCATCTGCCTCTGGGCAAAAAGTGTGCAGCAGAGCCAGGTTGAGGCAGAGGCGATCCCAACATGATGCCCACTCCGTTCCACTATTTCTCGGCTTGCCTGCAGCTGCACCGAACAAACACCCATGTTGGGCGTCTAGATTACTTGCCTCCCCTATCCTCCATATATCTGCCTGCTGCCAGTGCTGCTGCTCAAGCCTCTCGTGAGTTAGGCAGCCATGCAGCATGTTCGGATCACCTGTTTTCTACTTCCCCACCTTTGCCTCCATGCTCAAACTTATCGGTATTTGCGCTGAACCAAGGGGCTGGAGGGCTATGGCTGTGCCAGACACCATTGGCCCTCGTGTGCTTACCATCTCTCTTGC